GCGCGACTCGGGCGGAGCGCGCTTCGGGCAGGAAAAAAAAATTCGAAGTGGTGGGCCCTAGGCACAGTTTCCACAGGGGAACCTGCTCGATACCATGAGGAAAGTAGAACGAGAATGAATGAACTATGAATGGAAGGGATACAAATATGCAACCCTAGAAATGTGTACCCCATATAGGCTACCTCACTATAGCCTACAAAGTATTATAACTTGACACCACCCTGAGCTTTGCTTTGCTTTGCTTGACTGGTCTTGTGACCCCTTGTTCTCCCCCATCTTGCCTATGGGGGTGTGTCACATCATAATGTTGTGTAGGCTGTAGTGGAGTAGCCTATATGGGGTACACATTTCTAGGGTTGCATATTTGTACCACATTCCATTCCTTACTGCATTCATTCTCGTTTCAGTTTTCTCAGCTGCTACATCACGAGCAGCTAAGGGACGGGTGGGCGCTGGCGCAGTCGCGGGCAACTAAAGGACGCAACGGGCGCTGCTACGTCGCGAGCAGCTAAGGGACGTGACGGGCGCTGCGTCGAGCATTCAAGGGACACGACGAACGCGACTACGTCGTAGCAGCTTACGGACGCGCCGGGCGCTTCGACGGGCGCTGCGATAAGAGCCGCTTAGTACGTGCCTTACTGTTATTTCTCATTGTTAACACTTTGTTTTTTTTTATTTTCCGAATTTACGCTTCTAATCGATATGATTATTGCTTTCTATTACATTTACTTTTGTGTTGCAGGAAGCAGTGTCAACTCTACTCGAGATTCACAAGCTTGTTTCACGTTGGTTTTAGGTGCTGAATATTTTTTTGTTTTACGTTATTTTTACGATTTCAATTCTTTTTTATTTTTGCATCCTGATCTGACCCTTTCCGTGGCAGAAAGCGAGTATCATCACAGGGGGCGATTCTTCAGCGACAAAACGCTAGTTAACTATGGTGATTCATCAGAATTTTTAGCGCTGATATGTCAGAAACAAATACCACTCTGTGTTTCCGCCACAACAATCTCTTAAAGCCGTCTTTCCTTGCAGATTGTTGTTTCATTTTCCAGACATTGCAATACATACTATCTTGCCGCCATTGAGATATATAAATTCACCTACCATTGCAGTTTGTTGTCAGCTTGTCTCATGTCTCCTTTTCTTTAGTCTCTACTGTCAAAAGTTAGAAGAAGAAAGAGGGTTGAACTAGCAGAAATGGGGATACAAATAGCAAACCCTAGAAGGGTTGTACTCGCTATAGAGCACCCCACTACAGGCTAGAACATAAGAATAACATTCTGACACACCCCCATAGCCAAAGTGGGGTGTAATCAGCAGAGCAAGCAAAGCAGTACAAGCTCAGGGTGGATCACAATGTCACCACACATTCTGAGCACAAGTTCAAGAAGTAAGTTCAAGTGCACAATTATGAGCAAAGCTAGTGGTGGTCACAACGGGCAAGTGAGGAGGAGGAGTGAGAGCGAGAGGAGTTGGGAGGCGACGGCTGAAGCTGCAGACACTCGGGCAACAGGAGGCACACTGGCACAGCGGCTACCGGGCGAAGCCCCCGGAATACTGGAGTAACTGGCCCCGCGGCTAAAGTAGCGGCAGACGAGCAACGGACCCACGGGCGGCTGGCACAGCTGGCTACGACTGGGCTACCGGGCGAAGCCCCCGGAATACAGGTGTTGCTGACGACACGACGGCAACCTCCATGCAGCTTCCCTAACTATCCAACTCCCCCAACACACACCCGCTGATACGCTCCTAGCTCCACTCCCACGCACCCCCCTTAAACCCTAAACCCGAGTCTCCCACACAACCACCCCCCTCAGCGATAGCTGCAGCAGTGGGAGACGAAGGAGGAGGAGAAGGGGACGGCACGCACAAACGACACCCCCACAACCATCACCCCCATACCCGTCACCCCCATACCCTGAGTGTGCGGTAAGCGAGCTCAGGTGTGCGTGAAGCGTGCACAAGCTTACGGGAAGCGAACTCGGATGTGCGGTAATCGAACTCAGGTGTGCGGGGAGGGGGGCCGCAGGGTGACGCGCGGGTCGACGGGGACGGGTGCACGGGTCCCCAGGGGCGGCGCGCGGGTCGACGGGGCCGCCACGAAGGGCGACCGGAAGCCGCGCGCGGGTTGACGGGGCCGCCGCGAAGGGCGACGAGGAGCCGCACGCAGGTCGACGGGGACGGGCGTGCGGGTCGACGGAACGCGAAACCGCCGCGTGCGCCCAAGGTGCGCGGTGGGCAGAAAACCGCCACGCGTCCCGAGCGCATGGCGTGCAGAATACCGCCGCGCAAAGCAGGTAACCGTCGCGCGCCTCGAGGCGCACGGTGGGCAGAAAACCGCCGCACGCCCCGAGCGCGCGGTGGGCAGAAAACCGCCGCGCGCCTCGGGGCGCACGGCGGGCAGAAAACCGCCGTGCACCTCGGGGCGCAGGGCGGGAAGAAAAAATGCCGCACGCCACGGGGCGTGCGGCACAGAGAGTAGTAGTAGCAGTTGCAGCGGAAGCAACGAGGTGGTGAGCCCACCCAGAGGATCGATCCAAGGGGATCGACCTGCTCTGATAGCATGTCAAAAGTTAGAAGAAGAAAGAGGGTTGAACTAGCAGAAATGGGGATACAAATAGCAAACCCTAGAAGGGTTGTACTCGCTACAGAGCACCCCACTACAGGCTAGAACATAAGAATAACATTCTGACATCTACATGCATGTGCATATATTTTGTGAAGATTAATTTGGTTAATTATGCAGCTTTTCGTCCCTTACAACAACCTGACATGGAAAACACACGTTGAAGATTATTTTTATTATGCCATGCCTGATCTTATTTTGGGGCACAAAGTACGGTAATCAAGGTGATGTTTCCAAATTATAAGGGGATAAGTGCCAAATAATTGTTCTAGTTTTTATATTCTTTAGCTGGATTGATCTCATTTGTTATGCCGTTCACCCTATAATGTGTGCTGGTTTTGTGTTCTGAGGTTGGTTTAGCACTGCAGTGTTTTTAATATTTTGGGGCCACTGTACAAGGCCCTGTTTTCTACATAGTCATGTTATTTAATGTTTTGATTTATTGTGGAAATTATATTTTACAATTTTAACTAAAAATGCTTATTTCACAAAAAAAAAAACACACTGTAAAGGGGATATAGTCAGGCCATGCGCTGGCCACGTGTGACCCGAAACTGCCCCAAATCTGACTTTCCCGCCAAATCTTAACCCGTACCTGACCCGTACCTGACTTTTCCCGCCAAAATTTTAACCCGTACCTGACCCGGAAGTCGCTTTTGGGTTAGCCCCTCTGACCTACCACAAGCCTAAAGTGTCAGTTCCAAAAGTAACTTATGGGTCACTTTCCGAGATGTCCCCAATCTTGCCCGGAAGTCACCTGGGGGCCCCTTTTGGGTCAGAACATTTTGGAGATGCCATCATAGCATTCTATAGCCATGTTAGCTCGGCACTACTTATCGATGGCGCATATTCAGAGTACGAGCTCGCGTCGCACTTAGTACCATCATGCGGCAAGTATTCCTCTGCTCCCTCCTCACGCTAGCTTATCTGCGAGCCGTTTGAGAGCTTATCTCAGTCTCGCGTGAGATTCGTGCGGCATCTCAGAGCGTTTGGCATCCGAAACCCATTGCGTTTAGGTATCATTACCTCTCCAAGCTTCACGACGTTTCAATCTGTGAAACCCTAAATACAGTTCTGCGGTAAGGCTGGTGTGGTCATTCCATTCGTTTTGGCTCGCACACTAGTAGCTCAACCCTCACCTTCATTTCCTTCCATTTGCCTATAGTTTCGAGTCCTTCGTTCTCCCTGTTCCTCTTGTCCTTTGGCTCAACCGTCTCCATTCCACGTTCCCAGAGCTTAGCGGCGCGAAAAGAAACATGCAGTAGTCATGCATGAAGGCGCCATGCCTTCGTGCTCTTGTTCGAGCAACCTGACGCCAATCTGGGTATTCTCTAGTAGTGCGCGATGAAGCCATCGACTGCCTAGTCCAATGAGCTGATCGACATTCCTTAGCAGCGGAAGCACGAATGGCGGACAAAGTTACTACTAGGGCTGTGACCACCGTTTAGCGTTACCCGCCGGAGCATAGTAGCCATGGCTTTTGAGGTTCGATTCCGTATTCCCGGATGCGTAATCCAACGCAGATCCGATAACCATGATAGCAGCGGTTCACGAACCAACGACAACCGGTCTGGCAATAATAAAGCATCGGCCTCTTCCCACGTGGACGTGCACGTCGCTGCCTCTCCCGAGGAGCCTCTCCGATCGGTCTTCAACCGCCTGCTTCAGTCGCACCTGCGCGACTGCTGTCTGCCGTGCGATGCACGTCACGTGCAACAGGGAGCAGCCAGTGGCGTGGAAGCCGATGAGGCAACAGATTCGGTGCGTGGGATGCAGCCGGTCCGTTTCATGGTGGTAGGTCAGGTGGTGTACCTCTCGCCTGACTGCACTGTGGAACAAGCCAAGCTGAAACCGAGTTCCACCATTAAGGTGCTCCCCGTGAAGGCAGTGAATGAAGGTGGAGAGGGGGAGGTGGCTGAGAGGAGCGTGATTGTTCCTGCCGCTCCAGCTGTTGCGTTTGTATCTCCTGTTCTTGCTGCTGCTCCTGCTGCCGCGCTTTCTTTATGCTGGTGCTGCTCCTGCTTCTGAAGCTGCTGCTGCGACTCCACCTGCTGCTGCTGCTCCACCTACTGCTACTCCACCTATTGATGTTGCTCCACCTGCTGCTGCGGCTGCACCTGCTGCTGCGATTGACTACAGCAAATGGGACCACATGGGGTCCAGCAGCGACGAAGATGAGGAGCGCGATCAGCAGCACGCGAAGCTGTTTGGAGGTCCATCATTAGAGAGCGGCGCAACCTGCGGTGGCGGTCTTTTGGAATTAAAAGAGGTGATTTGGCATGGTCGCCGCGAGCTGATGAGGCGGTGGGATGCTCACACGCAGACGATTGATGCCCACTGGGCATGTTCGCGGACCGTCGGGGGGATTCAGATGCTGTCTCGGGCGGACATGGTTCACTACTTGGACGTGGGAGGTGGGTGGGATGCAGTTGAGTGCGAGTGCTGCTTCGACCAAGTAGTCAGCCTGGGAGCAGAGCGTGCTCTCTCCATGCGGAGCCTTGACCTCTTCCGTTCCCGCCTGCACAAGCGGCAGCCTGACTCCACCCCCCTTGCACACCGGAACAGGGTTCACCCAAGTGTGTTTGCCTATTCCTTGAGAGTGCAGGCTTTTGGAGAGCAAGGGGAGAAAGACAAGGAGCCTCGTGAGCAGTTCTTCTGCAAGCTCACTCTTGCGCCGTTTGTTTGTGCCGAGGCTATGGTTATCGAGTGGATGGCTGAGCCTCGTGTGGGCGTGCTCATGGACCTGGGGAGGATCAGATCCCGCCTGCCAGCTGTTTTGACCACTGGAGATCCCCTTCCTGCTTGGACTCCACCTGCTGCTGCTGCTGCTGCAGTGTGGCCCAGCTGCTGGCGCTGCAGCAGCTGCTGGGCTGCCTACCGTCGTGCTCTCAGCTTCGTTACTTTCCTCGTGCTTGTAGCGAGACGGCCCCGGATCGACACGTTATGGAAAGCTCATGACGATGCATACAATGAGGTGTACCCAGCGTTAGTGGCCCAGCTGGGGGCGGGCAGGCAGGAGAATCCGGACTGTGCGGCGTCCACACTGGTGCAGGTGCTGGGGGTGAAGGAGAGTGCAGATCTGAAGGAAGGGTTTGGGTTCTTTGTGCAGCATGCGCTAGGGATGAGCAAGTGGCGAACACGAACGTGTTCGTGTTCGCCCCTACACGAACACCTTCGTTTGCCGAACCGAACACTGTTCGGTTCGGCGAACACTTTGAGCAAAAAATGGTGTTCGCCGTTCGCCTGTGAAGGCGTGTTCGGGCGAACCTCGAACACTGTTCGTGTTCGTCGCGGGCAAATTGCAGCAGCGGCCCGAACACGAACGTGTTCGGGCGAACATCGAACACTGTTCGGCGAACATTTTAAGCCAAAAAAAAATACCTGTTCGGTTCGCCTCGAACACGTTCGAGGCGAACCGAACAGGTGTTCGTGTTTTTGCTCAACCCTAGCATGCGCTGTCAGGCGGGCTGGAGAAGGCGCATGGAGAGGGAAAAGGTGGAGACGGGGGGGAGGCTGCTAGGGAGGTGCAAGGGGAGGGGAAGGGGAGGTGGGAGGGTGTGGGAGAATGCACACACAGAGGGAGTTTTGGGGGGATGGACCAGATGGCTGGTGGGGGAAAACGAGGAGAGAGAAGGTTTTTAAGGGGGCTGGTGGGTGTGTCACATGGGGATGATGATGGAAGGCATGCAGGGGAGGAGGCAGCGAAAACGGAAGAGGTCAAAGGGGTTGCTAGCAGGTGCGGGAGGATTGGGAAGGACTTGAAGTGCAGGGAGCATCTGAAGGGGCGTGAGTGGGAGAGGTATGTGGATGGCATGGCTTGGATTCTGGAGCATGGAGGGGGGGAAGAGAGGGAGTTCAGGTGCAGCCACTGCAGTGAGGGGTGGAGCAGCAGCAGTGGCAGCGGCAGCAGTAGCAATATCAGCGGCGGCGGCAGCAGCAGCACCATTTTGGAAGGCAGGGAATTCCCCAAGGGCATCCCCAAGGGCATGTATGTGAGTGGCGTGGGTGCCACTGACTTCGCCCTTGCAGTCGCCTCTGTGTTTTCCAAGCCAGAGCACCGCAATTTGGGAGTGATGCTCTTTGCGAGGGGTAGGAGTGCATCCAGAAATGGGGTTGAGGAGGCAGTTATTGAGGAGGCCAGGGAGAGGCTGAGACAGCAGGGCCTACAGAACGGATTGGCAGCAGGGGTGAACGAGGGAGGGGCAACAGGAGAAGGACTTAAAGCAGCAGCAGCGGCGGCTCCAGCAGCAGCGGCTCCAGCAGCAGGACAGTCAGTGAGAGCTGGCTGTTCTCTTGGCAGCAGCGATTCCGATGGGATTCGTGGCTTGGTTAGCTGCTACAGCGGTTGTACCGGTAGCAGTGGGACATTCAGCTCTAATCTCATGCCTGTCAACGCAGACCATGTTATCGGGCTGCTCACCTATCGGGTTGCTCGCATATTGCAGTGGCTTCGGATCTACGGCTCAGATTCCATCTCTGCCAAGAGCTGCTTCAAGGACAGCCCACGAGGAAAGGTCCTGCCCATGCGCCTCCCGCTTCGGGATCTTCCGAGCCTGCTGGTCAGGTTCGGCGCTGTTCTCCCGCCACTGGATGGAGGCAGCCGACTTGCGGAGTGGGAGGAGTGGCCTGAGGGGGATGGAGCTGCTGTGAAGTTTCCTGTCGACGCCAGTGCCAGATGTTTCGGGCTGGGCCGGAGGAATAGCAGTCTGGGTCGCAAGAACAGAGGTCATGTGGCAACGCAGCAGCAGGGGAAGTCTTCGACGAAAGCTCCCACTGAAGAAGCGCCTGCATTTCCGAGCGAGTGCTATCCCATCGTGCGCTGCAAGGCAGATGTTGATTACTTAGTTGAGATCCTCGGTGTGTTTCTGAAGGCACCTGCGTGTGCCCAGTGCAGCACATGCATCAGCAGGTTCGTCTCCCTCGTCCCCGTTGTCGCTTTCATCGCCAACTTCGCCTACCTCCCTGCTGCCGCTCTTCTCGACTGCGTCCTCTCTGTCTTCCCGCCGCACACTGAGGAGTTCCGCCGCCTTCTCAAACGCATGGGGCTGGACGTTCCGCCCACCCCCGTATCTGTCTCGCTGAGCAGCCTTTCTGCCACGCGCAGCAGGCTGCTTGAGTTGATGGAAGACGTAAATTTCTTCCGCATCTCCTTCCTGCTCCACACAGCGCTTTTTTGCTCCACGTCTCTCCTGGAGCAGATCAGGCCTGAGGGGCAGCAGAGTTTGCTCGTTGGAGGAGAGTGCAGGGTTGTGTGGGAGGAGGTACAGTCGTGGCTCATGGCAGTAATGCTTCCGGTTGATGGTGTTGGAGCGAGGGGGGCGGCCTGCAGTGGCAGCCAGTCAAGGAAGGAGGATTTGAGTGCACGTATGAAAGAGGTAACTGAGATGTATCTTAGTGTTCATAGCAGCGGCAGCAGCAGCAGTGGCGGCAGCAGCAGCAGCGGCAGCAGCAGCAGCATCTTTAGCAAGCAGACAAGCAAGGAGGGGAATGAGCCAGATTACCTGAAGGCATGGCCGGGGGGAGTCAATCTGTTCGCATGTCTGCGAGAGATGCTGCTGGGGGAACCATGCTACCGCCCTGCCGCTTCTGCTGCGTATTCCATCCCTTCTGCAGCGAGCAAGCATACTGCTGCTGTTGCTCCAGACGTGCAAGGCCGTGTGTGCGGTGCTGCGGGGTGTGGGACGGTGGAGGGTGGTGGTGTGAAGCTGAGAATCTGTGGTGCGTGTGGCAAGGTGGCATATTGCAGCAGAGAGTGTCAAAAGGCGCACTGGCCCTCCCACAAGCTCACATGCCCAGGCAGGACCAGCGGCAAGAGGAGTGGGAAGAACAGTAGCAAGGTGAGTGGCAATGCGAGTGGCAGGAGGGAGGTGACTTTTGGGTCAACTCTAAAGCTGTGATGTACATGCCACGATTTTCATTGTGTCACACAGACTCAATGCAATTGGTCACGCCCCTTAAAGCCCGCGTCTCATATTTCACAACTCCCAACCAAGTGTAATACGCTTGAAACCGGGTAACCAGTCAAGCAGTCGCGACTTTGTTGGGTTTGGTTGGGAGCACTTACGATTGGCTGCAGCCCCAACAGGCTGGGCAGGGCAGATGCACGACTACCGAACTGCTTTCGTGCGAAACACACCACCAAGTGCGACGAAGGCAGAGCACACAGGGAACCAAGCGTAATACCACCGCAGAAATAATGAGACAGTTGAGCAACCACTTTCCATTCCATTCCAGCCCTACAGTCAGATCAACAACTTAGTTGTGGGTAGAGTCTGTCCACGGCTGTTCCGTACTATTTTGTACAAAATTTCACGCAATTCGTGTAAAAGCATATCGGCACGCGCGTCAACAGACGTGAAATGACGGAAGGTACGATACGGAAAGGACGCAATGGGACGGGAAGGGACGCGACGGAAGGGGAAGGGACGCGACGATGCACAAAACGGGACGATAAAAGAGGAAGGAGGAATACGGCAAGACGTGACCGGACGGAAAGGGACGCGAGGGGATTGGAAGGGTGATGGAAAGGAAGGTAGGGGCTAAAGGATGGAAGGGAGGTTAGGCGAGCATAAAGATAGTTGAAGCGGTAGCGGAGCGACATCGGCGGAAGCGACGAGGGAGAGGCATCGGCGGAAGCTGAGAGGGAGAGGCATCGGCGGAAGCTGAGAGGGAGAGACATCGGCGGAAGCGGTAGCGGAGCGGCAGCGGAGAGGAAGGCAGCAAGGCGAGCGCCAGCGCCGTCGCCGTCGCGGACGGGAGGATTCGCGCCGAGACCGGAAGGGACGGGAGGGTACGCGACGAGAGAGAAGGGGACGCGACGAGAGAGAAGGGGACGCGACGAGAGAGTTGGGGACACGGCGAGAGAGGAGGGGAATCGACGCGAGAGGAGGCGCCGCGACGAAAGAGGAGGGGACGCGACGAGAGAGGATGCGACGCGACGAAAGTGGAGGGGACGCGACGAGAGAGGAGGGGACGGGACGGGAGGGGACGAGAGGAGAGGCATCGAGAGTAGAAGGGACGGGAAGGCACACCCTGTATCCCCCTTTCCCTTTCCCCCATCCCCCTACCCAGCATCCCCCTTTCCCTTTCCCCCATCCCCCTACCCAGCATCCCCCTTTCCCTTTCCCCCATCCCCCTACCCAGCATACCCCTTTCCCTTTCCCCCATCCCCCTTCCCAGCATCCCCCGTTCCCTTTCCCCCATCCCCCTTCCCAGCATCCCCCTTTCCCCCATCCCCCTACCCAGCATCCCCCTTTCCCTTTCCCCCATCCCCCTACCCAGCATCCCCTTTCCCTTTCCCTCATCCCCCTTCCCAGCATCCGCCCCATCCCCCATACCCCCTTCCCCCATACCCCTCTTCCTTACCTCATACCCCTCTTCCTTATCCCATAGCCCTTTCCCTTTTCCGCGTCCCCCTTTCCCTTCCCATGAGCCCCTCTCCCATCTTCCCATGAGCAGAGTTGGACGGACGAGCCGAGACAGGAAAGGACAAGGCAAGTCATGTCAAACTCCTCCGTTCTGCTCGCCTATGCCCTGCACCCTCAACCCTCTGTTCCTCCTGCAGTTTTGGCCCTCACATTCTTCTTGTATGTCCAGCAGCAGCAGCAGTAGGCACGGGCACATCGAAGCAACGTGATGGTGCAACAGGCGAACCCTGGGCAGATATGATGAAGTGGGGGGGCGTGAGCATCTTGCTGACCACCGGAGCACATGCGTTGTAGGCCGCCATATACGATTGCTGGTTCTTTTTTGTCGGACGGCACTAAAAATGGTAGCACGGATTCTAGTTTCCGTTTATATACTGTCGTGTACACCCTTGTGAATGGCTGCATGCAGTGAAACATGCTTATAAAGTAACCGTAATAGCTATGTAAAGTTGACCAACCTGAAGTGAATGCTATTGTGATGCTTGAACATACACTCTACTGGTACTTGCAACTTGCAGGTCGACACTGAACTTTCAACTCTTTACTTATATGACTGATTTCTTACAGCTCTGTACAAAGTACCAGGGTCGAAGACATCAACCCCTGCGTCACTGTTCTTGTCGCTTGGTTTCCTGGTTTCGTGCGACACTCAAACCATTTGTGTTGGCTTTGGTGCATCCCGAGCCTTTGTGCCTGGTTCGCTTCTGGTCTGGCTCTTTGCAGGTTTCGCGTGACTTTTTCTTCCTCGTCAGAGAACACTTCGTGCATCGCCAGCAAATCACCTGTCTTCCAAGCAAACCAAAGGTAATACGCTAGAAAATATGAGACGCGGGTTTTAAGATTCCATGAGATTGGTCACGCCTCTTCAAATGCCCAGTGGTACAAGTGGTGTTGTGGCAATGCTGGCTCCTATGCCACCTCCTCTCACTTAATGGTTCTTGCCAGGGTGTCCGCTGGTATTGGTGCCTTGGCAATGACTTGCGTAGCAGCTGATGGTTTCGACCCTTTAAGCGGCCGATTTGAATGTGCGTGTCGAACTTTGACCATCTCTCCCCCATTTCACCCCCCTGTCCCACCGCCCTGCTCTACCTCCTGTCTCCTACCCCTCCTGTCCTTTTCACCAATTAACCCTCATGCACGCCCTTTTCTTTCTCCCTCGCACACTCACACTTGCTCTGGGCAGGCCTGAATTGCTCATTATGTGCAATTCAATACTCATGTATGGCCATCATGTCTGGCCATCACCATTGACCATCCATCACTATCAACATCCACTGGCCACTGCTGGTTCCATATATCTGGCTGGCTGATTACGGTAGTCTATCCAGGTGGTATACTCGTTTCAAGACCCTAGGGTACCATGCCCATTTGTGTAAAAATCAGGATATTAACTCATTGGCATGTACGCTTGCCCATTTGCTAGACGTCATTTGTTGGCAAAGCAGATCCAGGTAGCAATGCATGATTCATGGTCGGAGGGCAGAGGTGAAGCAAACGTGGGGCATATGTCTGCTTAAAAACGGTAGTAGATCTCACTTGCTACTGCACCAACCCATGCGGCCCATCCACTGGCATACAGGAGGCAAGTGGGAGATGACGAGTACATTAAAAAAAACGGTACTATGGTTCTCACTATTGCGTTGCATACAGCCCACCACCTGCTGTGCCTTGAATCTGCTACAGATTATTTCGCTGATAGGTACTTGAAGACCCATGCATGCTAGGTGACTCACGAAAACTGCAACATCTCCATCTTTTTGCGGGAGGAAAAGCGGAGGGAAAGGGGAGGGCAAGGGGACCGAGGAGGGGAGGGGAAGAAGTGGGGAAGGGGAGGGGAAAGGGGCAGGAAGGGAGGGAAAGCGAGGAAAAGGGGAGGGGAAAGTGGAGGAGGGGAAAAAGAGGGAAAGGGGGGAAAAGGGGGAAAGGAGAAGTGGAGAGGAGACAAAAAGGAGGGCACGAAGAGGGAAAAGGGAGCGGAATTGGATTGAAAGATGAAGGGAAAAGGGTTGGCCTGGTGTATGAATGAAATCAAATGACGGTACCTCCCAGTCAACATGCACTGGCGCGATATGCCCACAAACGCCATGCAAAAACCATACCCTGCACACCAAGTGCACAACATGTTCACACCATGGACACAGCATGCACACAGCATGCACACACCATGCACACACTATGCATACACAGTGCATACATACACCATGCACACACCATACACCCTCCATGCACACGCACGAATCGCCCCGAACCACCCCGTTCTCCATACATGGGGTTGCACATCTTATGCCTCATATTCCTCTCCAACCGATGCTCTTGGCGCCAGTTGCCGCCTCTGCTGCCTCCTTGTCTCGCCTCTGCTGCTCTTCCTGCCTCGGTGGTTATGACGGCTCGTGCCACGTGCCCACCAACAAGAGCAGCTCAAGAGATGGGGGAAAAGGGGCCCATTCCAACACGATGTCGCTTGCTACCATCTCTGGCAGGTCGTGCCCACGAACAAACTATCAGCACACGATGTGCACATCTTGTGGCCCATGATTTGTGAGCTGGAGGTATTTAAGAGAAGGGGGTGGGGAGGGATGGGATGAAGGATGCGTAGGGGAGGAGAAGGGGTATGAAAGCAGGGCAGAAGTGGGCGCAGGCATGAGCACACAAATACACTATCCGAGCAGAGGCACACCAGCTGGGTGAGAGATGGAGAAGGACAGAGAGTTAGGATGGGGGTGGGAGGTGAAGGGAAAAGAATGCAAGGCAGCAACAGTCATTCTCATAGGCCGGCATATGAGGCCAGGCCGTCCATGGCCCATCCATGGCCCGTCTGTGCTCGCACCCAGGCTGCAATCTGGCCCGGACCAGCCCAGCTCGATGCTGAAACCCCAGCTGCGACTCAGGTCACGTCCGGCCTGGAGCGCCAGGCCGGGCTGGCTTAATGCGCGCCGACAGTTTAGAACATCAGCCAAGCCAAGGCTGCCACCCGCCCTGTCTACCACCCGCCCTGGCTGCCACCCGCCCTGGCTGCCACCCGCTCTGGCTGCCACCCGCCCTGGCTGCTACCCGCCCTGGCTGCCACCCGCTCCATGCTCGTGCCTAAGATGTGTCATGTGTGCAAAACTCGCACGGCGCAGGTGCGGAGCTTCCTGCATCGCTTGATATAACTCCATGACACCACCACCTAGTCTCTCTCCAGCATCACCTGCCGTACCCTACCCAAGACCCAGAGCGCGCGCAATTGAGACACACCCGAGAGGCATGGCGTGCTGCAGGAGGGCCAAATTGGACGCGTAATGGAGGAGCAGGATGCAGAGAAGTAGCTTCTGCTCATGCTGTATTCTACTATCGGGTCTTGGTGCAGGGGGGATGGTGAGTGGTGGGTGTTGGTTGTGGGGATGATGCACAGGAAATTGGAAGGAAAAGCAGCTCCTGCTCATGCTTTTGCTGCCTCTACCCAAGCACCTGCTTTTGCTCCTTCCACTCCTGGTCGTGCTCCATCTCCTGGTGCTGCCGCTCGTGGTGCTCCTGATGTTCCTCCTCTGCAGCCCCGTACCAGGGCATGGCATGGCAAGGCAAGCAACCAGAACTCTCTCACCGTGTGAGCCACGTTATTAAGAATTCTCTCCAAGTCGCTCACAAGCAAGCACAAGTCGCTCCCAGTGAGGTCCACTGCAGAGGCATCGACACGTGCGATCAGTCTGGCAATCAGCCTTGCGCTCCCACGTGCGACACTCCTCGTTTTATAAACATGTACAGGTGAGTCAGTCAGGTGTCAATTTTGAGATCATCAAACGTCACAGGTGCTGCGCTACACTCCTCTGCTCACACACATACAAGAGAATCAGGTGGGTGAGACTTGCGAGGGATTTTGGAGTCGGCCAGTGATGCGTGTTCTCCAAACCCTACTCCAGATCCCTGCATGGATTCCAAATGGCTCAGAGATCCCTGTGTGGTGGGGAGGGACAAGAAGAGGGCCTTGAGGAACAGGCAGGGCAGGAGCAGGGGCCTTGACAAAAAGGCACGGGATACGGCATCACAAAACCGTGCCTCGCTCACTCGCCCTGTGCCTCACTCACTCGCCCTCAGTCACCTGCATTGTGCTCCACTCTCTTGCACCCTGCTCCACTTACATGGCAACAACCATGCCGTGGACGTCACACGTGATGTTCTGAGCATTAGAGGGCGGCCCATACGGCGCACGCATCGCTCCCACCTGCCGCCTATCCAACGTCCCCACCCCACGCCTGCTGGCACGCCTACAGCACGGGCCACTGGGGGAAAATCAAGGCAGAGGGGGAGGGGTTCTGAGGCGAAAAAATGATTGTTTTTCCCTACGTCGCGTTTCAGGCCACCGTCAAATCACCCCAGACACGCAGCGGACTGCAGCGATGCAATCAAGTGGGGTGGCGGCGATGCAAGAGTGTGGCGGCGGGTGGGAGGGGAAAAAATGAAAGGAAATGAATGGTTGACGCTCGGAGCAATGCTTTAGTGGGCAGTTTGCGTTGAATGAGGGCAAACTGTCACTCGCCAATTTCGAGATGGTGAATGGCGACGTGACTAGGAAAAACGGCTGCGCGACATGGCGAAACGAGGGCGTGACACGGCGGAATGGGCGTGACATGTCGAAATGGCCGTGACAACTCGAAAATTGTGGCGCGACAAGGAGAAAGCGGCGAAATGATGGCGATACATCAGCACACTCAGCCAGGCGTCAGGAAAGCACTAGACGGACCTTGGGAGGGGTCAATGGTAGCACTGCGGACTGCATGGAGAGCATAAGCGCGCTGAGCCTATAGCTCAAAGCACCCGACGACTAAACCTGGTAAGACCGACAGTGAAGCATAGAATCTAAAAAATAGATTCTAAAAAAATAGAATCCATACGACGAGCACAGCAGAGCAGACTTCTAAAGCCTCGACCGTGAAAACCACGAGAGTGGGATTCTAGTTCGCTTTCCGCTTGAGCAGCGGCTCCTCAAGGCGAATAGGAGCGAGCAGAGGGACCAAGGCGACTAGGACTTGGTTCTGTTTGCTGAAAGCAAACTTAAAACCGGGGTCACAAGTTTGCCAAGTTTGGTTCATCCTTCCTACCCTTGGTTGGGTGTGACCCTGTTGACAGCGTTGGGGCCTGAAAGTTCACGCTTGGGTGGGAAGAAACTCTCGCCCCCCAAAATTACTGTAGCGTCTGCATCGCCTGCACCCGAACAGGGCCCAAATGTTTCGCACAGGCAACTGAGGTAGGAAACCTGAAACCAGCGGGGTAGAAACTTGAGAGGCACCAAACGCACTGCTCGATAACAGCCGCGTCTCCTTAGTAGTCCACAACTCACCTTTCCTAGCCGAGACAATGCACACATTAGGTGCGTGTGGTGAGCGTAGTGGACGATTTTAGTCAGGCCGCAAAGAACCCGCACTCACTTCGTCCCCTGAAGGGATTAGGTAAAAGCCAACGAGGGCGGCGTTGCGAATTTGGCGTCGACAGCTAGGGCGCGAGGAAAAACGCCACGTGCGCCCACGAACGCGCGGGCTCGAGGGCGTCACCTTACGCAACGCGCATTGTGTGTCTGCTCGGCGATTTTATCATGGTACAGCGCTACGCTCCCTCTTTCGTACTATAAAGTAGACACCGTCCCAATCCCGCTCTCATCCTACTGCTCCCTTGAACCACCATCCCTTTCCCATGTTCTTCTCCCTACCTCCCATCGCAGCGCAGTCCCCTTTCCCTACTCCTACGCTCATCCGTTGTGCCTCCTTCTCAATCCCGCACTCATCCTTTTCCCTCATGCGCTATTGTTCTATTCACCCTTTCCTCTCCTGTCCCCCATTGCAGGGCGGTCCCATTTTCCCTCTCCTCCTCTCACCCGTTGTGACACTGTCCCAATCCCGCTCTCATCCTACTGCTCCCTTGAACCACCATCCCTTTCCCTCTTTCTTCTCCCTACCTCCCATCGCAGCGCAGTCCCCTTTCCCTACTCCTACGCTCATCCGTTGTGCCTCCTTCCCAATCCCGCTCTCATCCTTTTCCCTCATGCGCTATTGTTCTATTCACCCTTTCCTCTCCTGTCCCCCATTGCAGGGCGGTCCCATTTTCCCTCTCCTCCTCTCACCCCTTGTGACACTGTCCCAATCCCGCTCTCATCCTACTGCTCCCTTGAACCACCATCCCTTTCCCTCTTTCTTCTCCCTACCTCCCTTCGCAGGGCAGTCCCCTTTCCCTTCTCCTACGCTCATCCGTTGTGCCTCCGTCCCAATCCCGCTCTCATCCTTTCCTCCCCACCAGTCCCGTTTCATTCCCCCTTTCATCTCCTTACCTCCCTGAGTGGGTTGTCCCATTCCCCTACTCACAATGGGGGATTACCTTGTGCCTCTGTCTTAATCCCGCTCTCATCCTTTTCCCACTTGCGCTATTGTTCTATTCACCGTTTCCTCTCCTCTCCTCCATTGCAGGTGAGTCCCATTTGCCCTCTCCTCCTCTAACCCCTTGTGACACCGTCCCAATCCCTCTCTCATCCTACTGCACCCTTGCACCACCATCCCTTCCCCTCTTTCTTCTCCCTACCTCCCTTCGCAGGGCAGTCCCCTTTCCCTACTCCAACGCTCATCCGTTGTGCCTCTGTCCCAATCCCGCTCTCATCCTTTCCTCCCTTCTCCCTCCCCATGTCCCCCGGCGCCCTTGTACCCTCTCTGATCCCTGCTCCGATCTCTCTTCCCAATCCCATAGGCTTGCAATCTGGTCGGCACAACCACGTCGACTGATCCAAGCGTTAAGCTTAGGGAACTGGTCGAAGACATCGCCAAGAAGCACAGAACGAAGCAAGTATCTATATGTAGAAACATGCAGGAGCCTGTAGCTCTGCTGCGTAGCGGAGCAACGATCATGTTTGGAGGCAATCGGGAGGCATCATGCGGGGACCTGATCTACCTATACACGCTGGCGGCACCACGCCTCACGAAGAAACTCATGACTGTTGCATCAGAAAACGGTGAGTAAGTTGGATAACGGTGTGCTTGCATTAGGATTATGGAGTGGAATGTGCTAGTTTTTAATACGCCAGCACCCGCATAGACCGTGATCCATAGTTCATTCATGCTCCGTTTAATAAAAAACCCATCTTGCTTCCAGGGACGGACCGGCGTACTGCTGCCACCGTTGCTCGCATGCGGCTCACGGCACATGGTCAGGATCTACAATTCGGTGACGTGGATTCGGTCGGGAAGGTGGCTGATCTCATGTGCAAAGCACCGCGATCAATGCGCCCTGTAACGTACGGATTCGAGAAATGTTTTTTCAACAGTTCGCGGAAACTGCAACTTTCCAAAGGCATCAACCATGGGGGGGACCGACGTGGACCCAAATGAAAGGGAGGGAAGGGAGAGACGGGGGAGGAAGGGAGGGATTGAAGGGATGGGAGAGAAGGGAGGGATGGAGGGACGGGGGAGAAGGGGGAGAAGGGGGAGAAGGGAGAGACGGGAGGGAAGGGTACGCGGGTTGACGGAAGAGGGATTAGGGAGGCGGGAAGGCATGTATGGCGGCGGGAAAAGTGAATCGGGCGGCGGGATTGGCGAAGCGGGCGGCGGCAACGCGAATTCGGCGGCGCGAAAGGGGAATATGGCGGCGGGAAGGGGCGGTCGGGCGGCCCGACCGGAATCAATGTGCGGGAAAGGGCCCTCAGGCGGCGCGGAAGGGGATTCGGGCGGCAGGATAGGGGAACCCTTCGGCGGGAGCGTGAATCGGGCGACAGGGCGACGGTGGAGGGAACGCGGCCGGCGGGAAAGAGGAATCGGGAGGCAGTAGATGAGGGCAATCTCAGTTTATAGTAATGCGCGTCTTGAGTGCTCGGTGGCGTGCGGCACAGCCCATTATTACGGCCCCACGTATCACGGCCCGGCACACCCCATGCTAGCGCGACGGCTCTCTTTCCCCCCTACTCACTCTCGACTTTCGCGGAGAGTTCCGCGTAATCGGCGGTTTCGGGGGCCACGCCTGCACTCGAACCATTATCCTCTCGGCCCGTCATCCCTAAGTGAAGATTTCTCTCTGCTGGTGCTTGGTTGTTACGTAGCAATCCCGTGTATGTTGTACTAAAGCTAGGTCAATGATCTGGTTTAGTCAACTCACGACGTTCTTCTTGCGTGCACCTAGCCGTCACTGAACTCGACAGGCATTGGAAAAAGGTCGCAGAGTGTGTTTGGCGATGTTTCACATTTGGCACATGTGTCGCCTGGCAATTGTGGTAACAATGATGTCGCCCAAAAACTAGCGAACTGTGTTCTGCGTTTTCGGGAACCCAGCTACTCGCCATCCAATCCTAATTTTCTTCCCAACCAACCTTCCTACCTTTGAAACCTGTGGACCCTGGGTTTTAATAGCGTTACCAAAATTGTTTTCGAGTGCCGAAGCAAAGGGTGTACGTCCGGAACGCCTGACTCGGCTGGCGTTTTGGTCCTCAGCGAGCCGATTGGCGTGGAACGCGTAAACTTCGGAAATCTGTGCGTTCGGTCTGGTTTCTGGTTTGGGGGCGACATGTTAGGGGTTACCGAATTCGTTTACGTCATCAGGTATCGTACGAAGCCCCCTAAAACGGCGGGGATCAGGCTCGACCTAGTCTGACGACACCGAAGCTGACTCGTGTCGCTTCCGAGCCTTTAGCATCCCCCTTTCACCAAACCTCACCAACGGGGATTCCGCTTAGCAAGGGAGTGCTCGTGTAAAGGAGGCTTTTGAATCACGTGTCCTCATTTTGATCTCTGTTTCGACAGTCATTACAGCCTCCAACCCTAATTTCGAATCTTTCGCGCCGAGATTCCTTGTCTGTTGGTCCTCACCTCACATCCCCTCTTCCCTCCCTTCGAAATAGTGCAATCTACATACCCAGAGCACTCCGCATTGCCAGATCCAATAAAGTGAAACGGTAACGGAAATGTGAGATCCGCTAGCCTAGACGTCACCAAAAGGCTTATAGATCCGCCACCCAAGCCGTAGAGGCCATGTGATCTGGCTAGCCGGCGCGTGGAGAAACCAGGTGACGAGCACCAGCGGAACAAGCATCCCCGTTACGAACATCCAGGTCCATCGGCCAGCAGCAGCAGCAGCACGCGAAAATTACCAGCGATAATGAACAGCCTGCCTGACAAGATTCTGTCCAGGATTCTCTTCCTCGCAGCAACCACCGACAACTCTCAAGTCGACGCTGCCGCGAGCGACGCATCTCTGAAGTCACCTGCCCGCCTCCTTCCCCTTCCTGCCGTCCCTCCGTGTAGCCAGCTTCAGCTGCTGCCCACGCCTGCATGCACTGCCTGCGGACATGGGCCTGCTGCCGCGCCTGGAGGTGCTGCTTCTACGGGAATGTGCGGCACTCAGGACTCTGCCTGATTCGCTCAGACAGGCCAAGGCGCTTAGGCATGTGGATTTGTCCAAGTGCGGGGTGGCTAATTTAAGCCGTTTTGGCAGGAATGCGGGCAGGAATGCAGACAGGAAAGCGGACTGGTATGGAACAGGAGTTTATTTCGAATGGGGACCACGGGATGGCCACGAGTATCTAGTTTCAGTGTCTGTTTTTTTCCTGTGACTAGTGCTGGTACAGATCTCACCACTGTAAGCACCCATATAGTGGACGGACGCCATGCATTTGGTACTAGAATAATGTCAAATTGTACTATGGGTGAAGTACGGTACCTACATACGCCTGTTTTCTAGACGCAAATGATCCCACATGAGGCATTAGTGGAATCTATACTTCAACTCTTGCAATTCTAACCTTCTGTTCTCCTGAACTTGGAATTATCCTCGCACTAACCTCACTGCATTCACAGACTTCATAAATCACTACTTTTTCTGCCAATCTGTATTCCCACGCTGAGCTGTCCACTGACCACTCTGACCAACCGCCCTTTCACGTCCAAAGTGCTTTCCCATTGGAGTTTGAGTCCGCATAACTGAGCGAATAATTCTAAAATTGCCACAAATGAGTCGTGTCGTGGCACTTGAGTTGATGCAGCTGTTGAATTCCTCGGTGAATGGGAGTGGGGAGAAGGTCACACGAGGACACGGGAGATGAGGCGAGGCATGTGCGAGTCGATGTGGCAGACTAGCTGGGTGGGGCGGGGGGAGTTGAGTCAAGAAAAAAAGGGTGAGAAAAGGGGAACGGAAACTTGAAAAGTAAGGACTGCTGCCCATTAGTGCTCGCTCACACTCCCATGTACGGTACACGAACTCTGCCTCAGTAGCGGGACTCACGAATCACAACAACAGATGCAACACATCAAGTAGCCAACATTGCTGCTCAACACTGCCCCTTGATCCTGCCACCCATCAAACCCCATTGACACTCACCTGAAGGTCCTCCCTGCTGCAACAATTTTGATCAGAGCCATGACCTCGCTGATGCTTGTGGGGAGGTCGAAAGGCACTGGCTCTCGATTTCGGACAAGATCAACATTTGAGGCGTCTAAACAGTCGTCTCTCTACTTGCAAATTTTGAGGCGCCTCAAAAGCACATCAGAGCTGATTCTAAGGACGTCATCCCCCGCGACATGCAGATGATGATCGCCTAGCACGCATGCACAGTGATCAGCCCCACTGGTACGCGTGAGTGACGTGTGAGGGGCGTGTCTGGGAGCAGCTCCGCCACTCCATGCCTGTCTGGGGAGGGAAACGGAGTGAAAACATGCCAAAAACATGCACTGCATACATGCACACACCAAGCGCACACCATGCATAACTAAACCATCACACCGCGCACGTACCATGCACATGCACGCATAGAACCCACCCATGCACCCACCCGGCCACCATGCCTGGGGGCGTGGTTTTTGTTGGGAACACAGGGCTTGTGTTGTTGCTTGCCGCCTCTGCTGCCTCCTTGGCTCGCCTCAGCTGCTCTTCCTGCCTCAGCGACTTGGCAGGGCGTGCCATGTGCTCACTAACACGCGCTGTTAGCGACACTGGCCGGGAGTTGCTTCTGAGAGTGGGAATAGAGGGCGGGAAGGAAGGATGCACAGGGGAGGGAAAGGGGTATGAAAGCAGGGCATCAAGGAATGAGCACACAATTACAATGCCCGCACAAAGGCACATTAGCTGGGTGCGAGAGGGAGAAGGACGGGGAGGAAGGACGGGGGTGGGACGGGAAGGGAGAAGACGCAAGACAGCAACAATCATTAGCTACTCTCATAGTGTATGACCACACCATCTACTTTGTTACTAAAAATGTGTAGGAGCCAAATGGAAGACCACCCGTGAGCAACAATCTATGGGCACTGCAAACAGGACGATTTGAGCAGACCATGGGCATGGGCTCCGCCCTGGTCGGGCAGGACAAGCCATCCCTACAGGCGGGCCGTGAAGCCGACGTATCATCCTGTTCGCAGTGCCCATAGATTGTTACAGTGCCTATAGATTGTTGCAGTGCCCATAGATTGTTGCAGTGCCCATAGATTGTTGCAGTGCCCATAGATTGTTGCAGTGCCCATAGATTGTTGCAGTGCCCATAGATTGTTGTAGTGCCCATAGATTGTTACAGTGCCCATAGATTGTTACAGTGTCCATAGATTGTTACAGTGCCCATAGATTGTTACAGTGCCCATAGATTGTTGCAGTGCCCATAGATTGTTACAGTGCCCATAGATTGTTGCAGTGCCCATAGATTGTTGCAGTGCCCAGAGATTGTTGCAGCCCATAGATTGTTGCAGTGCCCATAGATTGTTGCAGTGCCCATAGATTGTTACAGTGCCCATAGATTGTTACAGTGCCCATAGATTGTTGCAGTGCCCATAGATTGTTGCAGTGCCCAAAGATTGTTGCAGTGCCCATAGATTGTTACAGTGCCCATAGATTGTTACAGTGCCCATAGATTGTTGCAGTGCCCATAGATTGTTGCACTGCCCATAGATTGTTGCAGTGCCCATAGCCGTCCCCATAGGCTGGACCCGCCAGAGATGGTAGCCCGCCTCCGCCCTGGTCGGGCTGGGAGAAGCCGTCCCCATA